GTGTCCCGGTCACCAAGTGTCCCTCCCGCATGTCCTCTCCTGTGCCTGCCGGCCGCGTGCCTGCAGGACCTTCCTGCGCTCAAGTTGTCCTGGTGGGGCCTTCACGCAGCTCCCGGAGACGGTGCGTCGAGGTCTTCCCTCTCCCAGTTTAGTTTTCTCCCAGCTATCATTTTGAAAAATGCTGAGTCTCCAGAAAAAGTCGCAAGAACTGTAGCCCGAAGAGCCCCCACTCTTCACCCTTTTTGGCCATTTGACTTATTTGGAGGGTCCCTTTGAAAGCAGGAAGTCGCATGAGCGCCTGCTAAGCACTTCCGGGCCCGCCCCCGCCCCACGTCGGGCCTCGGCACCCTTACAGCTGCATGGCCGTCTCCTGCACCGGCAGCTGGGCCGTCGGAGGTCTGGCTGGGGGCGAGTGGACCCACACTTCTCTCCCAGCCACCGCACAAAGGCAGAAGTGCCGCGCACTGAGCCCTCCACAGGCTGCTCGCGTCACACCTTCCCCGAGGGCCAGGACCCTGTGGAGGACCCCACTTCACCGCTGTCACTGCAGAGTGTGCGCTGCTCGGTGTTTTCTGTTGTCCTGGCAACGTCCTCCCGGCACATTTCTTTCTGGGGCAGGACCACGTGTTGCTGACTTATCTCTGCTGTCCTTTTATTCGGTCTTCAGCCTTTGGGGGAGCTGGCAACCCTGGAGATGGAAGCTGGGGAGTTGGGAGCTGTGTCCCCAGCCCATTGGTAAACTCGCCGATTGACAGGGTCTCACCACGTTGCCCGGGTTGGCCTCAAACCGTGACCTTCTTGGCTCGGCCTCCCAATAGCTGGGATTACAGCGTGTGCTGGCCATGCCCAGCCCCTGTCAGGTTTTAGCTGAGCTGCATCTTTTGCAGCCGTTTCCTCCCACTTGGGTGGCCTTCCTTTCACATTCTGGGTAACGTCCTTTGATGTGTAAGAGTCCCTGGTTCTGGTGAAGTCCAGTTTGTCTGTTTTGTTCTTTGCCGGGTCCCAGGTTATGGATTCACTTGCTTCCATCTGAGCTTCCTCGTTTACCCGTTGAGCCCCTCTTCGTATGTGGAGTGAGGTGAAGGCCTCGCTGCATCCCAGGGGTGGGGGCAGGCACCCCCTCTTGGGCCTGGAGAGGTGCGCGCCATTTGTTGCCATCTTCTTCCCCTGGTGGTGTCGGCACCATTGGAAATCATCAGCTGTCATATTCCGTTGGTCTCCGAGTCAGTCCTTAGCTTGGGCCCACACTGTGGCTTCACAGCACACTGAAGTCTTCTGCTTAGGAGTGGGAGTCCTTGAGTTCTGTTCCTCCTTAAAAGCCTTGCGGTTCTGGGCCTGTAGCAGTTCCCTAGCTGTTCAGGGACTGGCATCCATTGGTGCAGCAAGGCCGTTGGGACTCCAGCAGGGACCGCACCAAGTCTAGACTGCTCAGTGCTGCATCCTAGTCGTCTTCCAGCCCGCAAACACGGAATGTCTCCCTGTTTGTTCGGGTCTTTATTTCTCCCAGCGATGTTTTGTGGTTTCAGAGTGCAGATTTCCAACCTCCTCGGCTAATTCTTCCCTGGCCGCTTTCCCCTCCATGTGCTGCTGTGGGTGGGCTTGCTTCTCCTGGCCCCGCAGCCGGTTGTCTGCTGCTGATATGCAGAAGTAGAGTGTGTTGGTCTGTCTCCTGCAAAGGGTCGAATTCACTCAGGCCTCACAGCTTCTCTGGGGTCTCTGCCATCTGCAGAGAGGGAGCTTGACTTCCTTCCCAACTTGCGGACATTTGTACCTCTTCTTTCTTGCTGGCTTTGGCTAGAACTTCTCCTGCAATAGCAGCGTTCTTGTTCCGCTGCTGACCTCAGAGAAAGCTCTGTGTCTGTCCACGGGCGATGTAGGCTGTGCCCCCTTCCTCCCACATCTCCCTCAGGTGTCCTGTGTGTGGCTTTGGGCCTCTGGTGAGGGTCACCCAGCTTCCTCCCTGCAGAGCGCCCTCTCTGCAGTGGTCGCCTACGACACCCTTCCTGAGTGCAGTGGACAGTGGCTCATGAGCTGTGGCCTGAAGCTCAAGGAACGGGTGCCCGGCATGCATGTAGAGCATCCGTTTCCGTGATGCAACAGGAGCCACATAGCCACCTGTGAGCTAGCACTGGTTTCTCACGCGTACCCTCTGTGTCCACAGCCTGACTCAGATTCCACCAAACACTCAACCCCCTCGAATAGCTCCAACCCCAGTGGCCCGCCAAGCCCCAACTCGCCCCACAGGAGCCAGCTTCCCCTCGACAGCCTGGAGCAGCCCGCTGGCGACGCCTGAGGCCCCCTCACCCCGAGCAGTGCCAAGACTGAGCTGACAGTGTTGTCCGCAGAGATGCAGTCATCTGTAGATACAAAACGAATCTGTATTATAATAATGACCAGATGGATGGCACATCCCATGGCGTAGTCCAGATCGCTCATCTGCATAGCTGTGAGGCGACACGTTCCGTTTGCACATGAAGGACCACCGCACACCTCACCCGCACTGCCGGCATGGCTCTGGGCCTCGCCTGTGCAGGACCTCAGCACCTGTCTCTCCCCTGTTCCTCGAAACCATTCCCAAGCCCCTAGGAGAATAACAGCAAGTTGTGTGCCCTCCCAGCATCTCAAGACTCACGGACAGGAGAGCGCAGGTTGGCTGTGGCCTTCGAGTTCACTTTCCCATTGCACAGCCAGCTGCAGGTGCTGCTGCTGCTGCCTGGCTGTGGACAGAGCCCCAGGCCCAGTGGCACCACATCCCTCGAGGGAGTCCATGCTGGGTCACAGCAGAGCCAGCGTGTGTCATGGAGCAGGCAGGCCACTCTGCCTGCTGGGAGAGATGCCCAGAGTCTGGGGAGTGCACAGCAGTCATGGGACCCCTTCCTGCCGCCCGCCCACCCCACCCCGCATGGAGCCCATTCCAACCGGGTGGAGACACCGGACACTTCCCCCTCAGTGGCCCGCGTGGCCGGGATGCCCTTGTGTATTTAATCGCACCCTCTCGTGTCCCGTGTCGGGTCAGGTCTGTGGTCCCATTGTAAAGGCTTGTGATTGACTGGCGACAGACTCGGCTTGTCCCCAGCTAGCTGTTCAGGACCTGCACTTGGCTGAGTTCGACACTGAGGGCCACACCATGGTCACGCCCAGCACCTGCTGCCCCACCCACCTTCCAGGCCTGTGTCGCCAAGGTCCCTGCTGGGGGTTCTGGTTTTTACTTTTCTAATGTAAGTCTGAGTCTTTGTAATTATTGAATTGTGAAAACATTTTTGAACAATTTATCTGTCAATAAAGCAGAAGATGGCAGTTTTAAAGCTCTCCGTGGTTTGGGTATGGTGGTGTCACCCCAAGTGTGCCTGAGTACCTGGGAGCACCTCATAATGGCAGTTGCCCCAGACAACAGTGAAGGCAGAGTTCATGAAAGGGCAGCCCTATCCATGTGGCAGCAGTGGGCGCCCGGAGCCCGGGGTCACATCTCTGCCAGTTTCCAGGTCCCCCAGAGGGGCATCAGTGGGGCAAGGGACAGGGGTCTCAGCCTGAGGGCAGCGAGCCCTTGAGGTCATGGTCAGTGGGAGCTGGGCATTGCGCCCACAAGCCTGGCAGCAGAGTGGGCCCTGGCCACACACAGGACAGGCGGGACCAGCGCGGGGCCACCCCTCCCCTGCCAGGCCAGCTGTCAGGTTGGGGTTGTCTGCCTTCTGCCGAGACCTCCACGGGGCTGGGTGAGCAGGGCATCCAGCTTGGACAGCAGCCACCCAAGGACAGGCAGGGCCGCAGCCACACACACAACTCCACTGGACGTCAGCAGCAGCTCCCATAGAGGCAGCACTTCTCCAGGCATGGCCATGCTGGCCACCGGACACCGGGCCTGTAGGATCACAGCAGGAACAGCAGACAGGCCGCCCTGGGGCCCTTCTGAAACTCAGATGAATAGCACTGTCTGCAGAGCCTGCGTGGGCCTGGGCTGGGGCGGGGGCAGGTGGCATGGCACAGCAGCAGGATGGCCTGCACCCTGGCCCACAGCATCTGTGCCGCTCAGGAGAATGCTGAGCCCAAGGAGTGCTGAGCTACATCCCAGCCTTTTTAGAGACAGAGTCTACTAGGTGTCCAAGCTTGCCTAGAACTTGGGATCCTCTTGCCTCAGCCTCCCAAGTAGCTGGGGTAAAGGCTTGAGCCACCATGTCTGGCCATTGGCCACCTCTATTTGAGTACTGGGGGTTGAGTCCAGGGCCTTCACACTGAGCTACATCCCGGCCCTTTATTTTTTGAGACAGGGTGTGCTAAGTGGCTGAGTTCCCAGATGGTGTCCAGTAGCCACTCCCAGGACTGCTTGGAGGGTCTAAAGCTCAGCTCAAATTTGTGATCTTCCTGCCTCGGCCTCCAAGAGTGCTGGGCTTATACATGTGCCACTATGGCTGGCTCTGGCTGTTGGCCACTTTTTAAAAATGAAATACCAGCTGCTGTGGACAAACTGGTATTGACAAGGTGGAGTACCTTACGGCTCCACGAGTGGCAGGTTACACCTACAAGACACAAGTGCCACGGAACAGCAGAGTGAGAGACAGGAGTCCTGTTCACAGAAAGTACCACACAGCCGAGCTGAGCTATCGGAAGTCAGCAGTATGGTGGAGCACAGTGACATCCCGTGCAGTCCCCTTTGCTGAGAAGGCTGAGGCCGGAGGATAGCTTGAGTCTGAGTTCAAAGCCAGTCTGACAGCACAGCAAGACCCCGCCTCACAGTCAAAGTCTGTAGGGTAACAACCCCAGGCTCCCAGGGGCCACAGATGAGACCTCTCCTCACCCTCCTGTGCACAGGCAAGGGCAAACCCATGACTCGGGCCACCTCCCAACCACCTGGCACAGCATGGCCGGGATGCCTACCACCTGCCAGCCCCAGCTCCCACGCCGCCTCAGCCCTAGGTCCCTCCCGGGCTGAGCACCCCACCCTCCGGCCAGCTGTGTGGCCCAGCAGAGCAGGACTGAGCAGTCAGGCAGCGCTGTCCATGCTCTCAGGGTGCAGAAAACCCTTTATTGAGGAGCTCGGGGTGGGGCGGGAGGCGGCCTGGAGGTAGGTGTCCCGCTGTGCAGGAGGTGGGGGCCTGCGGATCAGACTTCGGTCTGGGCGGCAAACAGCGGGTTCACGAAATAGCAGGTGCTGCTGTCCACATTCAGGGCCGCGCTGGGCAGCTGCGCTGAGGGCTGCAGGAAGACGGGTCAGGGGTAGCGAGCGAGAGCTAGCCCTGAGGAGTCCGCCTGCCAACACCCTCACCTGCTTCTCCCAGGTCGCCACGTGGAACACGGGGTTGGAGAATCCCTGGGGCAGTCCTATGGGCTGGGACTCCGCCTCCTGGTGTCTCCTCCACCTGAGGGGGAGTGTGTGGCGGGAGGCGGGGAGCCCAGGACACCAGGTCTACTCGGCTGACCTCTCCCGCGCCCCCCCCCCGCCCGCCCAGCCCCCTTCGAACCTGAGACGGCCGGAGCGGTGCAGCACCAACCCGGTCCCCAGCACTGCCAGCAACAGCACGAGCAGGCCCACCGTGGCCAAGCCACCCACGAGCCCTGGACGGGACCCAGGCGCGTCCTGCCCCTCCGCAGAGCCGCTCTCAAGGGGCGCGCCTGACTCCCGCAGCACTGCCGACAGCACCCCTAGGGCCGCGCCTGTAAGAGCAGCGCGGAGGGCCCTGCCTGCAAGGGGCCTGGCTGGGAGAGCCAGGGCCCCAGGCCCGGGGGATCGGGGACTCCAGGTGAGGGCGCGGGGACTCCAGGTGGGGGGATCAGGGACTCCAGGTGGGGGCGCAGGGCCCCGGGCCCCGGGTGGTTACCGTGCTCAGTGGCGTCCGCCAGCAGCGCGCGCCCCAGCCGCCCCGCGCCTCGTGTCCCGGACTCAGGCTCCAGCAGCACCACCTGGACGCCGGCTCCCTCGTCGCGCCGCACCTTGGACACGGCCGCCTGCAGCCCCTGGTACTGCGGCTGCAGAGGGAACAGGTGGGGCGCGGACCGCGGGTGAGGGCCCCGGGCAGGAGGGCTGGCGGGCGGACAGGCCGCGTTACCTGGGCCAGGAAGGTGTCCAGCAGTCGCGCGCGGTACCGCTCCAGGTCGAAGACAGCGGCGTCGTAGGTCAGCGACACCAAGGCTCCTATGGCCGGAGGGCGGGCTCAGCGCCGCGACTGGGCTGGGCGGGAAACTGAGGCAGGGACCCCCAGCCCTGGCGGGGCTCACCGCAGAGGTCGCAGCACTGGCCCTCGGGCCTCAGGGCGTCACGGCAGGGCGCGGGGGGACAGCGGCCGCCCCGGGGCTGGAGGAGCGCGGCGCAGACCCAGGGCAGCGTCTGGGGGGGGGGGGGTCAGCACAGGGCCACGGGTCAGCGCGGGGCCAGGGCCGCGCCCCCCGCTCCCCTGCTCCCCCACCCCGGGCCTCACCTCGGCGCCGCCGCACTCGCAGCCCGCGGGGTCGGCGCAGGCCTCGGCACCCACGCGCAGCGCGCCCGGCCCGTGGAAGCGCAGGCGGCCGGCGCGGGACGCCAGGAACGCGGCCAGGTCCTCGTCGCCCGTGAACGTCTGCGGGATCGGAGTCACGGCAGCTCGCCACGCGCGCTCGGGGGGCCCGCCCGCCAGGGACCGGCCACCCGCTCACCTGGCCCAGCGCCGAGACGCTGCGGACGCGCACGGGGTTGGCGCCCGGGCCCAGCCCCACGCGGAAGGAGGCGTCAGTCGGGAAGAGGACGTCGTCGTGGACGCAGGGCACGCGCTCGGCGTCCACGAAGAAGAGGCCGGGCGCCTCGGCCTCAGCGCGCCAGAGGTGCGGGTCGAGCCAGGAGAAGCGGTCGGGGTCGCGGAAGAGCGCGGGGAGCCCTGAGAGCGTGCGGCCAAAGCTCAGGGCGGGGCCCAGCTCGGCCCGACCCCGCCCGGATCCCGCCCAAAGTCCCGCCCCAAGGAGCCCTGCCCAAAGCCCCGCCCCGGCCACGTCCCTCCCCAGCAGCCGCCCCCCAGGGCCCAATGAACAGGCCCCAGTGTGGGCCACGCCCCCAAATCGCCACGCCTCCCGGCCCACCTGGAGACAGTCCCGCTCCGGCCCCATCCCCGGCCCCCGCTCCTCACCTGAGCCGCAGTCGGGGCGCGGGCCCTCCTCGGCGGCGCTGAACCCCGCTCCAGAGGCCAGGACGAGCTCCCCATCCAACGGCAGGCGCTGTGAGGGGCAGGGGTGAGGACCGAGCCGACCGGCGCCGGCGCAGCCCGGGGTCCGGGCCGGGCGTGACCTCGGCCTGGCCAGTTGAGGCGGGGGGCGCCCGGGAACCGCCTGGCCAGGGCTCGGGCGGAGCCTCGGGCTGAGGCCGGCAGAGGTGACGCTGCCCACCCTGGCGCCCTGGCTGTCGCCCTGCCTCCTCGTCCGGGGAAGTGAATTTTAGGCGTCGCAAGCCGCTGGGGTTAGGGTAGGGTCGGCGCCATCAGCCCCAACTGAGCCCAGCCTGGGGCCCAAGGGACTCCAGCGGCAGTCGCCTGACGCGGGCGCAGCACCCAGGGGACCGGGAGGCCCCGGAGAGCCGCCCCCCGAGCCTGGAAGGGTCTGTCTGGAAGTGTTGGGATGGAACCCGGGGCCTCGCTCTGAGCCGCACACCCAGCCCAGCCTTTTTGTTTTTTATTTGGGGACAGGGTTTTTTGCTAAGTTCCTGAGTTCCCCGGGCTGGACTCAAATTTGTGCTCCTCCTGCCTCAGCCTCCCAGAGTGCTAGGATTACAGGATTACCCCCCAGCAAGAATTGAGCACAGGAAGAGAAACTGGCTACGCACGCGTTTCTAGGGGACAATATTTTATACCAAAGAGCATTCGGAAGCTTCAGAGGGAAAGAATGGATCCTTCAGGAAAGAGGGGAATTCAGATTCAGATTTTCCAGCAAGAACAGTGCGTGTAAACTGGGTGTGGTGGCCCACACATGTCACCCCAGCATTCTTGGAGCCTAAGGCAGGACAATCATGAGTTCGAGCCCAGCTTAGGCAACTTACATGACTTAGTAAGATCCTGTTTCAAAAAAAAAATTTGTTTTAAGGCTTGGGGATGTAGCTCAGTGCAAAAAGCCCCGGGTTCTATCTCCCTTACAGGAAAAAAAGAAAAGCCAGACAAGAGACAATATCATGCGAATGCAAATGCAAAATTTCTAAATAAAACAGGAGTTAAGCAGAGCCAATAATGTATCTTTCAAATACTACTCGGCAGCCAAGGCCTGGGCACAACCTGTGGTGCCAGCACCCTGGGCAGTTAGGCGACTACAAGACCCTGTCTGGAAATCAAAATAAAAAGCTTTGGGGATGTACTCAGCGCCGAGGGCCTAGGTTCAGCACCGCAAAACAAAAACCACAAGAGAACAAAAACCCCGTTCAATTTAAACCGAATTTTAAAAATGGATGGTGTCAAGCAAGAGCCCTGTCCAAGGGCAGGGTGGAGGAACAGCAGTGTTGAGTGGTTTCCAGTAGGTGGCAGTAGAGAGCCCCAGACCTGCCGAGCCAATGCAAGGGGACAGGCAAACCCCGGGTCCTGGAGAAGAGGCGGGTGCGACCCTGTCCCCAGGACAGGGTCAGGGGGACAGTAGCTTGAAGGAGAACAGGACCTCAGAAAACCTCCCAAAAGGCACAGTGTCCCCAGGGGAGCTCATCTCCATCCACATAGGGTGAAACACGCCTTTAAAAATCTGCTTCCCCGGGGCCGGGGACTTAGCTCAGTGGTTCCGCTGCCTCCCTCCCAAGCACAGGGATCCAAGTTTGATTGCCGGTACCAAAAAAAAAAAGAATTAAAAAAAAAAATCTGCTACCTTTAAGTCAGGCGTGGTGGCGCACGCCTGTAGTCCTAGCACTTGGCAGGCTGAGGCAGGAGGATTGCCACATGTTCAAGGCCAGCCTGGGCCACATAGCAAGGCCCTGTCTCAAAAAAGAAAAAACTCTGGTGGCTGTAGCAGTAGAACAGAATTTCTTCCCTGTGATGGGAATGTGCCTTCGGCCCAGGAGAGTGGAGTCCTCCCTAGCAAGAGGACGGGACGAAGCCCCCACAGCCCTCCCCCTGCCCCAGCTGCCCGGCAGAGGCCCCAGGGGGCCAGTCCCACTGGGCCTCACCAGGTTGGCGACAGCATGGCTCCCTCGCACCAGGACCGACACCATCTGCGGGAGGCAGTGGTCAGCACCAGAGTGGCCTACCACCCCCTGCCCTGGCAGCCCGTCCCACCCTGGGTCCGAGGCACCTTGTCTGCCGGGAGCTGGATGGAGCCTCCTGCACATGGGGTCCGGTTCTGGCTCCAGTTGGTGTCGGTGTCAAAGTTGGTGTTGGGAACCCAGAGTTTGTAGGCAGCCTGGGTCAGTGCTGGGGGAGGGCAGGGGGGGCCTGGACACTGTCCCTGCTGTCCCTGGCCCTTAGCTTCCCAGGCTGCCCCTCCAAGCCCGGCTCCCTCGCTCTAGACTCCTACCTATCCGCAGAGCCCACTTCAGTGTGCCCACCTACAGGACGCCGGCCCAGATCCCCACCTGGCCCCCAGTGTGCCCCTCTAGGCGAGGACTTTGTGGCCCAGTCAGTGACAGCCGGGATGGGGCAGGGGCTCGGGAGCTCCCAGGGGAGGGGACAGGAACCAGAGCCAGGTCCCTGGGCATCGGGGGCACCAGGGACTCCCTGGGCCAGGGGGAGGGGAAGGGGTTCCACCCAGACCTCAGAGGAGGGGAACCGGGTAGGCTGCCTGCCCCCAGACACACTGGGTGGCTGGGTGGTGTGCATCTGCCAGGGGGCCGGCGCCTCCCATCCCCGGCACCTCAAGATCCTGTCTCCAGGCCCAGGGCACCGTGCCTGGCTCTGGGGACCCTAGCCCACCCCTGTGCCCACCTACCACAAAGCTGCAGCCACAGCAGCACCTGGCCCAGCCACCCCATCTTGCAGCCACCGCCTGACCTGGTGGAGGAGACTTTGCCCTGGCCTGGGGGACACAGGGCTGGGCCTGGGTTACACATTCACCTCCTGGGGCGGGGCCGCCACTGCGACCCCCTCCCCAGCCCCGCCTGGGTGTGGACCTCATGGAAGTGTGCAGATGTTCGGGCGAGGGTCGGGTGTGCAGGGTGGGCCCAGTGGGTCATCGGGAGCGGGCAGCAGGGGGTGGGTGAGGAGCCGGGCAGCTCAGGGACAGCACTGGTGGGCGCCAGGAGGTGGGGACGCTGCCCACACTGCCCGGGTGCGGGGCTGGGTGGTGAGCGGAGGGAGACGGGGCGGATGCGCGGCTCAGCTGGATGCAGGGTGCAGGTTCCAATGGCTGCAGACGAACCTGAGCGGAATCGGGGTGGGGGTGCAGGAGACGGCGTCAGTGACGCTGCCCGGGTGAGGACATGAGGACGGCAGCAGCACAGGTGGGGAGGGGCGGCAGGGACAAGGAGGGCCAGGGCCGGGACGCCAGGGCGTCCGTCACAGGCGCGGTGCGTGCACCCACCCAGCACACGGGGCACAGCGGGGTGGGCCTGCCCTGAGGTGGCTGCTTCCTGCCACGGCCCCCCTGCCCGGGCCTCTCACAGCGGGGTTGCGACCTGGGGACGGGGAGGGGAGCCCGGCTCCTGCCGACCTTGGCCCTTTCTGCAGGGCGCCTGCTGCTCTCAGGGCACCGTCGGGCAGCCAGCCCGGGAAGGCGGCCGAGGGTGGTCCTGGAGCTTAGCCCAGGACCCGGTGGCCCACAGGAAGTACCGTCCAGGAGCACAGGGCAAGTGGGGGCAGCAGGAGGCAATGTCACGGGTTGGGCCCTGCCACTTGTTCCCTGCCAGCCTGGGGGCTGAGCCTGAGGCCAGGCAGGTCCGAGCTGGCACCAGCAGGAGGCTGGGGCTGGGGACCAGAGTGGGCCCTCACAGCCACCTGGCAGGCCCTTCCCAGAGACGTGGGGGCACCAAGGACCCTGGGCAGCCTGTGGGGCTTCCGAGAAGACAAGACGTAAGGGACAGCTGGGCCGGCGGCTGGGTGCACTCCATCAGGTCGCTGTCCTGGAAGGGGCACCCTGAGCAGACTGGGGCCCAGCTGCCAGGAGGTGACAGGGAGGCGCTCACTCAGGGTGGCCCTGGAGGCCATGGGGTCCTGGGAGCCACTCAGGAGCAAAGCTGTGAGGGCGGAGAGGGCTCAGCACCTAGGAAAGCACCTGGCTCAGCTGCCTCAGGGCACTAATGGGGCTCAGTCCGGCTGCTGCGGCTTGGCCCCAGGACTCCCAGCCCGGGCTGGCTGTGTGGCAGGGTCTACGCACCGGGCACTGTGCCCAGCTGACCTGAGCCGGTGGCCATCCTAGGTCCTGGCTCACCTGAGGTGCAGGCCCTGAGTGCAGGCTGCAGAGCCGCCAGGCCTGGGCAGGTGGGGCAGGGACGGGGGGGGGGCAGTGCCCAGGACAGCTCGGTGGGGCTCAAGCAACGCCATTCCGTCCACCCGAGGGTAAAGGGGGAGGAGGATGCGGGGCAGGGGCAGTGCGGTCCTGGAAGCCCAGCTGGGCAGGCAGTCCAGGCAGCAAGGCCACTTGGCCAAGGGCAGCGCCTGAGGAGCTGGATGTGGTGGCACAGAGCAGCTTCCAGGGCTCGGTGAGGGCCCTAGGGTCCCCCCAGGTCACTTGCACCAGGGGCCCCGGCAGCCCTCTCTACCCCAAAGGCTGGGTCCCAAGCCCCACAGAGGGGAGACGGGATGGCGGTGTGGCCCAGCCCCAGGGCACACTAGTGGACGGGGTCCTGCGTGGATCCAGGTTAGACCAGCAGTCAGGCTGGACCAGGGCCCAGCCTCCCTGCCGGCCTGCTGGGTCAGGATGGGACAATTCCACCCTGCAAGTGGCCTCTGCCCACCCATCCTGACAGGTGGGCACACACCCAGGGTCACACCTCGTGCCCTCCCGTAGGTGCCAGCCTCTCCTGTCCCTTGGCCCCTTCCAGGGGACCTGCTCTGGGGCCTCTGAGCTGCATGGCCCCGGGGCCCTGGATCGGAGCTGGAGCTGGAGCCGGAGCCCGGAGCAGGCTGCTGAAGCTGCTGCTCAGGGAGGGGATGGGCAGTGGGAGGCAGCGGGAGGCACCAGGACAGTTCCTCCCACGCACCGCCCTGGCTCTCCCAGGGTCTTTCTTAGGCTGGCAGTCTGTTTCTGAGAACTGGGAACCTGCAGCCGGGGTCTGGGGGCCGCCATGGCAGCATCTAGGGGAGCGGGTGAGCAGCCAGAGTTGCTGCGAGCTGCAGTCTCCATGGCATAGGTGTGGGGTCTGGGCTCCTCTCCCACCCTCATGTCTCGTATTTCAAGTGGGCCCTGCAGAGTGCAAGCCCCATAGCTGGGCACAGGGCAGCTTCTGCTCCAACCCCCATGGCAAGTCCCTGCCCTGGCTGGCGAGCTCCCGGCTCTCCTGACTCGAGGCTCAGAGGCACTGTCCTTGCTGCCCTGAGCTGGGGGAGCCCAGCGTCACATGACGTCAGCCTAGACACCAGCCACATCCGAGGCCAGAGCTGGCCCCACCCCAGCGGGACCTGAGGGCCGCACATGGCCCCAGTGCCCTGGGAGGGGATGGCTCTGCACCCCTCTTCTTGTCCAGGCTCCGCCTGGCATGCGAGCAGCCAGTCTTGGGGTGACCACCTGTCTCCTCTCTTGCTCTGCTCAGGAAAATCCCTGGAGGAGGAAGAATCCAGTGTCTGGAATGCCCAGTTGGCTGGCCCACACCCCAAGTTGTCGGTGCAGGTGGCGGGGTGGCCTGGCAAAGGACCCTGGGGGCTCACTCCCCAGCATGTCCCAGCAACAGCACCCTCTCTGGGCCCAACCTGGACTATGCCTCAGAGGGTGGGCTGTGGCTGCGTGGGTGCTGTGGGAACTGCAGGGGGGCTGAGGGTCCCCCCACTTCTCCGGCTGTGAGCACCAGGATGAGATTGGGAGGCTTCCTGCTGCGGCCTGGCACAGAGGTTGACCTAGGCTGGGGCAGGAGCTCGAGTGCAGGAGCAGCTGTGTAGCGGGTCCCGGCCCCTCTGCACCCCAGCCCCAGAGGCCCGGCTGCCTCCGCCCATCCCCAGCAGACCCCAGGGCCCGAGGGTGCTGGCTGAGCCATCCCAGCAGGAGGGTGAGGGCCTCAAGAGGGCTCAGGTGCTTTTCATGCTCTAAGCTGTCCCGATCTGCAGGCCCCGGGGTGAGCTGGGCAGGCCGGGTTCGAGCCCTTCCGTGGTGTCAGGATGGCCAAGCACAGGCGACAGGACCCTCACCCAAGCCTGGGAGTAAAGACAGGGCGAGAAGGAACCAGGACTCTTAATCACGTTTATTTTTCTCTAATAACAGTTTAGCATTTCCAAGTTTCGCATTCTACAGTCTTACAAACTTCAGTTATTAGCATCAAAAACACAAAAACATCACAAGACCTCAAAACACAAATAAATACCAAATAAAACCACACACGATATACAGAAAACAGAAATAGAAAACATAATAATGCTATCAGGAAATCAGACATGTTGCTAACCCCCAGGAATGACAGGATTATTGCTGAGCAATAACTCACACTGTCTTTTTTCTTAGAAGAGCGGAGGAACACGGGACGCGAATCACTGGTCACCATCACTTGGAATCAAGCTGGGGCCGCACAGCGAGCGGTCACTACAGACGGCAATTGGTAAAACAGGCAGATTAAAAATACAGTCAAATGAGAGAGTGGCCTTCTTTGGTCTTTGTTTTGGGTATGGAACTGAACACGAGAGGCGTACGGACCACCGGGGAGAGAGTGCACACCTAGAACCGGCCTAGGGCGTCTCGGTCCACTGCACGCTTCCGCGATCACGGAGGTCCTAGGGATTCTGAGGGAAATCCTTGGAATAAGCCGGCTTTTGTGTTTTCCAATCAAGTCATTGAGTTGCGGTTGAAGGTCATCTAACTTGTCTAAGGGGACTAAGTGGTAAAACCAGTCAGGCTAGTTATAGGAGTCGTACAGCCCTGGACTTTCCCCTTGGCCTGCAGCGCACTCAGATGAGGCGCAGCGGGGAAGGGTGAGCTCGCGCACGACGCCCAGGGGACACTGGGGTCACCCAGCTGGGTGACACTGTGCTGCCCTCCCTGCCTGGTGATGGTGCTCGGAGCACAGCGGGCAAGGGAAATCCACTGGACAGGCCCCCTGACCAGGCTCCCACGGTGCCCACCAGCCAGCACCAGCCGGGACGAGACCATCAGTGACTGGGTCACCCGCTGGCACCAACCTCGCCTGACCCGGACCCGCGGGGCGTGGACTTTGGAGAAGATAGTTATGGAGATTTGCAAAGAGAAGATGACAGAAGCGCGGCCGGCTGAGAAGCAGACTGGGTGAGCGGCCTCACTCACGCGCGACACAGGCGTGCCTAGAACCCCGGCTCTGCTCTCCTGCAGCCTGGTCCGCGAAGATCTGCACCGTAAGTAAAAAAAAGTAGCATCCAAGGCCCGGGAGCCCTTCCCAGCATGCTCATGACCTCGGGCAGAGGGGCAGGTGTGGGACTGGGGACTGGCTAGGCCCCGGGGAGTCTGTGCTCTGACCTGCTCACAGTGAGCCCGAGCGCGCCAGGCGCTGGCACCGGGGTCTGGTCTCTCGGGGCTGCCCCCCTCTGCGGGCGTCACCCACCAGCTGAGGCCCCTGGCTGGCCATGCTGACTGTGGGGCACACGCCCACCCAGGAGTCCCCACAGGCTGTGCCTGGCGCCCATGTCCTCCCCGAGGCTGGCGGGGACACCAGGTTGGGGCACAGCCCCCATGGTCCCCAGGGTCACCGGCCGAGGGAGAAACTGGGACTGGGCAGAGGCAGGAAGACAACCGAGGAAACACCCATTAGCAGCAGGTGGGCCAAGTGACACCGTGCCACGGGGGTCGTGGCAGGCACCGTGCGGCAGGGCTGCTCTGGGACCAGCACGCGGCCCTTGCAGCAGCTCCAGCCACCCGCGTGGGAGTGCACACCTCGTCCAGCTCGGCCAGGCCCTGAGTCTCGTGACGCTGCACCTCCCACCGGCCTCCGTGGCGTCACCCAGCTCCTCTGAGCAGACTCTGGGCCCCAGGGCCCCAGCGTCCCTGGCCTGCGAGCTTTACCACCACAGCCCGGCCTCGACGGCACAGATGGCCTGACTTTCAGCGACTCTCACGTGCCCCCCTGAAAGCCCTGGAGCCAGAGGCCAGGCCTCCAGCCTGCACCACCGCCCTGGTGGCACAGGGCAGCCACAGTGGCAGTGTGACGGACACGGAGCGGCTACCCAGACCGAGGCTGCTGCACAGAGGACGAAGCAGTTTTCTTTAAAGCGCAGGATAACCACGTCCCAGGAATGTTGTCACTTTGTAAGTAAGAGGCGTGCGCTGGGCACACACACTTTATGGCCACCTGGTGCTCCTCAGCGGGGACCCTGTGTTTCGAGGACAGGCGCCGGGTGCTGGCCAGGGGGAGAGCACGCCCAGGCCGCCAGGCACGAGCACCGAGGGGGCGTGGATACACGGGCAGGACACTGTCCCTACAGGTCCTGCAGAGCACGCCAGCCTACTCCAGCACCAGTCCCCTGGAGGCCGTGCCACCTGGCCCAGGGACAGTACAGCCACTCCCGTCCACCTGAGGATGTAGGGAGGCCAGACGGCCATACCCACACGACGGCTCTGGGTGGGTCTCCAGGCTTCTCGGGAAGCGGGCCTTTCACCCCGCCCCACAACTGCACACCCTCAACCAGCTGTACTGGGCAGGCCTCTGCCAGGGCCAGGAGCAGCTGGAACACCTGGGGCCAAGTGGGCGCTGCTGGGGCCCATGCCTCCTCCAGGCCTCGAGCAGAACCTAAGGGACAGGCCTGGAGGGGGCTGGGGACACTGACGGGGACAGCTCTCGCACGAAGTCCTTCCTTCTCAGCAGGGACGGCGATGCCCCCCTGGGGCAGAACCAAGGATGCCTGACCCAAGAGGACCCGGACAGCAGAGGGGAGCAGCAATGGAGCGCAGAGCCGTGCAACATGCAAGGTGTGAGGCGTGTGGAAGCACAGGGACAGGTGTGTGAGCAGAGGGCACGTCCAGCAGGCACTGGGGGAAAGGCACACCCAGGGCAGATGGCAGCACCAGAGACAAGGTGGGCCCCCGGGCACCGACCCGGCCGTCCCCACACGACCCTAGGGGAGCCAAGAGGCAGGCAGTGACGCGCGCCCAGCTGGCCAATCGTGGGCACGCCTCTTGGGCGAGGGGCACAGATGTGGTGGTTCGCACACTGGTTTTGCCTAAGAAGCACCCGTCGCGTGTAGCACCCATCAGTAAGAGCACCGTGAAGCGTGCTGCATAGCAAAAGGGGCGCAGGGGCGGGGCTCCAGCTTCGATCACAGTTGGGCTTGAGGCGGTAAACAGTGTTGAGTGCCATCGGGCGGGCGGGCGGGCGGGCAGACACAGGGGCTAATGGGCTGCCCCAAGGGTTAGGCCGGGCAGCCCCGAACAGCGGTCTCCAGAGTGCCAGAGGGCTCTGCTTGGAGCTGCGTGGGCACTGGGAGGGGAGTGGGGCTTGGGGACGCGTAGCTTCTGCTCTGCACCTGCCTCCCTCGGGGGCCAAGCCGGCTTGGGGCCTGGAGTTTGGAAACTGGGATGAGGGAGCCTTGGAGGCTCTGGAAGCTGCCGATGGAGCCTGGCTTCCGCCCGCAGAGTCGGAGCTGTGTGAGGGCCTCGCAGAGACAGATTTGGCGGCAGAGAGAGTCTGGTTCAGCTAGCGCTTTCTAGAATCCCATCAAACGCAAACCCAGGGTCAGGAAGCAGCATGTCACGTCTAAGGCACAAGTACCGTATGCCACCTTCTCTAAGCAGATGTCACTGTTGGAGACCACAACAGCACGCAGCGTGTGACGGACGGAGACACACCCGCAGCCTCCCGGACGCGACTCGGGGACCGAGGTCGTTGCTGTCAGCCGTGAAGAGCTCGTCTGGACATGGGGCAGAATTTTAAAAACCTACAGGATTTTGTTTAGAACTCCAAAGTTCAACTAATGCCCTATTTTAGGGTGAAAACAATTATAAATCTGAAAATGATGCACAGCATCCATGAGCAATGTTCCTTTCATAATAATTTTGAAGTAGTGTCATTAACTACGACAGATATTGAAGGTTTACATTTCTAACGAGAAATAACAACAAGTTGAATTCTCTTTCCTATCACAAGTGATAACCAGTGTTGATAGTTTACATTTTCTTCCAAGAAATATCAGTCTATCAATGTTTCAAAGTAAAATGTTTGCAGTAACAATTATCTGTAGAACTTTAAATTAAAAAATGATTTCTGAATTTAGATACTTTCAAAAAAAGACCTAGGTGTACTTCAGGGTCTTCTGACAAACAAATTAGTAAAACAGAGACCAGATGAACCCTTAAAAATAGACAATATACTATATTTGGAACAAGATTGCACTCTTGGATTGTAGAATGACTGTATCGGAACTGCATTATTATTTCGTGAGTTACCCTTTACTTAACATGCTGACGAGTCAGGCTACCCCCGTGTGTTCTGTCTCTGGTGTTCAAGTTTACGGAAGAAAAATCATGTTTCTTTTGCTTAGCATATATGTTTTCCACCTTGATTAACTAGATCTTTAAAAACGAAAATGGAAAACTTCTCTGACAGCAATATTTATCTTGTCAAAGGATAAATAATTCCTCAGAGAGAAGGGCGGCTAGTCTATGGAGAGGACATGCCGGGGGTGCTCTGCATGGGCTCCTCCTGCCGGCCGCCAGCTGCCTCCTGCTGCCGCCTCCACTCCACAAGGTCCTTTCTGCACGCGAGGACCTCAGTGAAGACAGACCGGATCCACCCCGAGAGGATCTACCTTCTGCTGAATCCACTGCCCGCTGACTTCTCAGGGGTCGGGCAGATCCGAAGTATCCACTATGACTTTAATAAAAATTGTATCATCTTTAATATACGTCCCATTTTCCAGAACCGTTTGGGCCACAAAGACGGGGCAGCCGGAGGCGATGTTCATCTCTCCAGTGGGCTTCTTGAAGCTGCTGCTGTTGGGGTCAGGCTTGAACGCATCTCCCAGGTGGCGCCGGGAGGAGCCCTGATCCATCAGCATGAGCGTCACTTTCTGCTTAAATGGCCACGGCAGCAGGGCGTCATACTCTCCGCGCATGATGACAAAAAACAGCGACAGGTGCGTCCCCTTCCCCATCCCGTCCCCATTCAGGTAGACCCTGGCGCACATCTTGTAGCCGAAGTAGCCAGTGTAGAAGGGCTGGCTGTAGAGGGACAGGGTCTTCCCCATGACAGCCTCCTGCTTCCGGCGCTTGTAGTCGCGGATCTTCCAGATGAGCACGCCATTGTAGCTGGCGGTCTCCAGGACCTGGAAGCGCAGGTCCATGTCGGCCAGGCGGATGTCATGGACGCTCAGCATCTGGTCGTGCCGGCTCAGCTGCGATTCCAGTAAGCCTACCACAGAGAGGAGAGACTGGCAGTGAGACCAGGCAGCAGAGGTCAGCAACGCAAATCCACGCCCGCGTCTCCATCCACGGCCACAGGAAACCGCGGTGGCTGCTTCGGATGCAGGTGTGGGGAGCAGCGCAGGCCCGCGCCCGCTGCAGGAGGCCAGCTGCTCGGGGTCTCCACACCTCCTCCCTTGCCCTGCCGGCCACTGCACGGTCACAGTCCCAAGGTCCCCGCACCCCAGCCTGACTCCTGCGAGGTCATCTGCACTCCTTGGCTAGGCTGCCCCTGCCCCACCTCCTCTGCCTGCTTAATCCAACCATGTGCAGTGTGCACCGGATACTCCTGCCTTCCACCCTTAACCCTCAGTGAGCAGCCAGGCCCACACCTGCTCGGAGCGTGGGGCCAGCTCCCCCACCTGGCCTGTGCCCACCCACTGTGGTCTGCAGCACCCAGGCCGGCCGGCGGCCCCAGCCTCTCTGCACCTGGCCTGAGCTCACTCCTGGAGCTGCAGCTCCGCCCCATGCCTCCTGCCTGCCGGCCGCACCGCACCTGTGTTCCTCGCCGCCTGCCCCGCACTCTTGTCCACGCTCTCCAGCTCTGTGACACGGTTCTGCAGCGACTCCACGCTGCTCTTCATGCTGTCTGCTTCCTCCCAGTTCTGCCGGAAGGGACGGATCTCCTTGTCCAGCTCCTTCAGCTTCTCCGCCTGGCTGTCTATGACACGCTTCCAGACCAAAGGTGCAGAAAGGCAAAAACCAGTGAGAACCGCTGACGAGGCCCCACTGCCCCAGCACGGTGAACAAGGACAGGCGCACAGCTGGGAGCAAGCAGGCAGCAGGAAGAGGGACAGAGGGTTGGGGGGCAAAGTGCCACCCACCCGCTGCTCACACCAGCCCCTCCTGCGCCTTCCCGTGTCCCTGGCCGCCGCCTGGCCCCTCACCCCCACCCCTAGCCTTGCTGTCAGACCCCAGTGCAGCCCGGCCCTCACGCGCCCCAGGACCCCTCCTGGCCCCTTGCCCAGCACCCACACGGACCTCAGGGCCGCGGTGCTGAAGGTCCCCGCTCCCCACAGGAGGAGAGCTAGGTAGAAGCCTTGCCTCGCCCCACTGAGAACAGGTCCACGGGGTGGGCGGCCCCAGCTCAGACCTCGCGTCTCTGGTTTCTCTGCTGCCTGCCCGTGATGGACATGCTGCCCCGAGAAGGTCCCAGAGAGACCCCACCACCCGCCACGGCCCAGAGGCCATTCCAGAAGGGACTTCCGCCTTCGCTGTGCCACGCTCAGCCCCACACAGCAGCTGCCCGGCGAGGCCCTGCCAATGCCACCTGAGCTGAAGGAACGCAATGCTTCCCTTCAGCTCTGTCACGGTGCCGGCGGGAGGGACAGGAACTGCACCCTGGACACGGTGGCCCCATCAAGGGCCCAGTCTGCTTTTCACAGGGAGGCCAGATCCACAGGGTTTCTACTCTGAGAAGAACCTGCATTTGATTTGAGGCAGAGCTTGGAGGCCAGCAGGCTGAGCGGCATGCGGCTGGGCCCGGCCCTGGCCTTGCTTCTCCTTTGCTCTTGAGCCTTTAGGTTTTGGCACCACTGCGAAGTGTCACTGACCACGGAGAACATGTGGCAGGGCCGTGCCGCCCTCTGTGGTGATAGCACAGGGCTGTTCTTCCTGCTCCCTCCAAAAAACACGGATGCCAGCCGATGTTTAAAAAGGACGACTGCTCTTAAAAACACCTCTTGCTAGGTCCAGGACAAATGGCCAGAGGAGTATTTAATTAGCTCATGAAGTGTACTTTCTGGAGGCCAATCCTACATCCACACGCTTATCCTCCACCCCGCTTTGTAACACAGGGTCTAGTAGTCCAGGCTGCCTTGAACTTGCTGAAACAGGCTGGGCTTGAACTCAAAACCCTCTGAGCCTCCCGAGTGCAGTGTGCACCCTAAGCCCGGCTTCCTCCTGCCTGGGGAGTGTCTGCGAGTGCTTGCATCCGTCTCCCTGTGCTGGGGACTAGGCCAAGGAGGCTGTGGATGAGGACACTGAACCTGGTCCCAGATACCACTTTGTGCCTCAGTGACTGGGCGGGAACCCTGAGTCTCAGGCTTCAGCCTCATGCTGATGTGGCCCGTGGTGGCCTGTGAGCCTGTGGCGCTGAGCAAGGCCGCACCTCATCTGGGGTGAGACACGCGTGCGGGGCGGGACACACGTGTGCTCTCGGTCTGTGGACGAGCTCGCCAGGCCACGTGGGAGGCATTTCCATGTCGGCATGGGAGATGTGCTCATACCCTGTGCTTGTACAGGCCGCAGGGTTTCAAGGGATGCAGAGGTGGCTCATGAGTCCCCATGAGTGGCAATGACCAGGTCCCTTCTTTAGACAACCCCGTCGGCTCCGCGCTGCTCTTCCCAGCCCCCTCACTGGCTCTGGGGAGCGCTGAGCCGCTGTCCTTGGCTCCACCACCCTGCCCCGCCTTCCTGCCGGTCACTGTCTGGGTTTATTCAAGTGGGCACCACACGCAGTAGGGACTCAAGTCTCCCAAGAAGCAAAGTGAACAAACAAGCTTTTCCAGCGGCAAGCAGCAGCCATGAAAAGATCCCTGGTGGAACCCGAAGGGCCAGAGGGCGCGAGGCCCCACCGCTGCGCTCTCCTGGCACGTCGTGAGTGGCCATGGACCCTTCCTCAGCTTGTGCGGTGGGTGTGGACAGCGGCGTCCCAGCATCCCACGTGTCCACGCTGTCGCCCCTGACAGCCACACTGGCAGCAGCTGGAGCTGCTCCTGGTGTAGGGCCGGGTAGAGGTATGCGGGGGCAGGGGCAGTGCCACGCGGGGCTCTTCTGGCCCATGCAATGCTGGCGATGCGTGATCGTACCTCTTCTCGTACAATCTCATGTTTCCTTGTGTTTCCTTCTTGCCTCTGGGTAACCACAAAGTGTGATACAGGTGCAGGTAATTTAATAAGCCCTACGCTGCTCACAGGCTTGGTCTCCAGTGTGAGCGCCAGGGGAGATGTTCTCAAAGCGCAGGCTCTGCTCTCCTGAAGATCTCTTCCTGGTAATTCAGGGAAACGGCGCGGAAACACAAGGGCTGCAGACCACTCGGGCCTGGAGATGGCTCTTGCAGGGTGTGGGAGATGCTCGGAGTGCAGGTGAGTTCAGGTGAGTGAGAACCCCCTCCCTAGCGGCCCGTCCACAGCATCAGCGGGGCTTGCAGTGGCAAAGCTTTAGTTTGTCGTCTTGGGCATCCCTGGGTCACTGCAGTGAGACACAGCTGGGGAACTACCACGCAGTCCGAAGCAGTCACTTTAGGAAGTGAAACGGCACCAAGTACTCACGAGTGACATGAAACCCTGGCCGGCCAGAAAACGGACGAATTCTTCCTTCTGGATCCAGGGCTGGAGCCCAGGGCCTCGCACGTGAAGACCCACACCCAGCTGCACAGCTGTTGTTTAAGACCCAGGCCCACAGTGCCACCCACTGGGGGATCGAAGGCATGCAGCAGGGGCCAGGCCAGCTCCCTGGGGCCCCCACCCCAGCCCAGGGGGTTCCTCGAAGTCCCCACACCCCAAGAAAGCTGAGGACCACAGAGCACTCCACCCTCCCAAGCCGCTTACCTGCAGGTGAAGGATTTTGGATTCATTATTTCGCAGCATCTCCTTTTGTCTCTCGATTTCAATTTCAAAGCTACAGATCTGATTGTGCAGACTTTGTATGCTCTTGTTTTTTTCTACACTTTCATTCTGCAGCAAGGAAACCTGAAAAAGAAATTCTTCCATTTATCTAGCACAAAGGTTTGACACTGATGAACGAGGACAGTGAGGAAGTTTCCACAGGGTGCTGGCCCTTCCTGGCACACAGGAGGAGCCCCAGCCGGAAAGCAATCCCCGCCCCAGACAGTGCAGGCCTGGAGTCTCAGCCCTGAACCCCAGGGTGGTGCGGCACAGCCACCCAATGATTTTGGGTTTTTCAAGTGTTTACTGAAAACAAGGAAATCTTCACCTTCAAACCTGGACCAGGAAACAGTAATAAACACAGCCTCACACCTCGCCTCATCTGCAAACACTGAGCGGACACAAAAACAGGCTGCACAAAACTGAGCCCACCCAGGTGACTTGAACGCTGAGATTCTCAATTCCATTCTACTGTGCTTAATACTCTTGTGGAGCTGGGCGTGGTGGCACACACCTGCAATCCCAGCACTTGGGAGGCTGAGGCAGAAAAACCATGGTGGGTTAGCCATGGGCCAGCCTGAACTACACAGTGAGACCCTGTCTAAAACAACAAACCCTCCAAAACCAAAAACTAAAAACAACAACAACAACAACAACAAAGAAAAGTGATGTGCATTTTAAAACTGCTAAGAGAGCAGATCTGAAACGTTGACACCACACATAAAATACGTGCAGGTGTGTCAGCCAGCTGGGTTTACTTGGATGATGCATACGTTTATCAAAACATGGCCCCACATCCCACAAATACACATGGTTACTTACCGTCCACTTGGAAAATGCTAGTCGCCGCCCACTCAGTTACCCACACCCTCCAGGGCAAGAGCGCCAGCCCCGTGGGAAGCGTGTGAGCCCAGAGCTCGTCACTGTGCCCAGACCAGCAGCCCATGGGCGAGAGGAGCTGACATCAAGCAGGGCCACCCATCACCAGGCACGGAAAGGCCTGCAGGCTGAGCACTCCGAGCCACTGCCGACCTCTGCAGAACTGCTTTCTGGGAAACAGCTCCCAAGGACAGACTAGCACCCAGTGGAGTGCTTTTTTGGTTTTTTTTGAGACAGTCTCTCTATATAGCCTAGACTGCCCTTAAAACTCCAAACCCGCCTGCCTCAGCTTCCCAAGTGCTAGGATCCCAAGAGAGTGCACCCCCATGCCTGCTGATACCTGGTCTTAAAAGGTCCCAGGATGAGGGGCCCAAGGACAGCACCCTCTCCGCTCCCACTCTGGGATCGGCACATGAAAGGATCTGATCTCCATCTACCAGCAGAAGCCTCTGCCCCTGAGAGACCCGAGTTCCACACTCACCTCCGAATGGACTCCGAAATGGCCCGAGGACTGGCCGGGGTCACAAAGGTGAGTCGGAGGCCACCTCGGGACAGAACAGTGGACAAGATAATGCCTGATGCTGTCTCATTAGAGAACAACCAGCCTGACGATGCAAGAAGCACTCTGGACAATCACAGCCTATTCTGCTTTAAACAGACGTGTATTTACCCAGGCATAGAATTTGCAATGTGTCATGGGTAAAACAGGGCTTTACTTTCTTTCCTAGAATTCTACTCAGCAAAAGTTAGCTTTCCTCCCCAGAACACAGGTCTCCAACGTCACACGCTCCTACGAGGCCAGCTTGTGTTCAGTCAGAGCCACAATGCCGCCTGGGACCCTGTCCCTGCAACAAATCAAGTTCTTGAGCATGAGCAGCCACCAACCTAGAGTAACAAACATGCCATGGCACCCTGAGCCCTGGCTCCTCCCTCAACTGAACTTTACTTTGATGGGTGGAGCCAGCTGCTCATGAAGATCGCTTCTTTGCCCGCACATGGGGTCCAGCGGGCAGAGCAGACGCCACCAGTGAGGCTCTGCCCTAGGACACAAAGCCTGCCCACCACCGCAAGGTGAGTGCACCCCTCCTCAGCCCTCAGCGCTGCCCCAGGACACGGCAGGCAACACTGAGGAGGCCCCTGCAGAGCTCGCGGGCAGCACCCTGTGCCCCGCTGGACAAGCTAAACCACCGAGTCACGGCAGCCACAGCACTTAGTTCTAGGACGGAAGGAAGAACTTCGTAAACAAGAAACACGGCATCTAGGGGACAAGACACCTTGCATTTATGCCTGTGATTTAAAACGGTAGGATCAGAATGCATTCTTCAAAAGAAGGAAGAAAGGCTTTGACAGGTAAACCATGAACTCAGGACCCCATCCACGACCGGGGCTGCACCACGGCCAACCTCCCACTGCCGCTTGCTCCGTCTCAGTGTCCAGTGGCGAACTATTCTGTGCCAGGCTTCATGAAAATCTTCTGCCCTAATATTTTATGCTCTCTCAAGTACATTTACAATAAAAAAACCCATGCGAATCTTTACAAATCTTTACAAATCTTCAGAAAACTCAAATGCCAACTGCACCGCTGCTGGATTCATCTTGGTACCATTCCCTCCTGCAAGTTCTCAGGAGATGGCTAAATTCCATTTCATTTTTACAAATGAGCCGCAGAGGGAGACCCTATAACAACATCTCTGTTAATCCTTGGGAGGGCTGCATCTCATGAGAACACAGCTGCCAAGCTGAACACCAGGGAACAGACTCCAGGGACAGAGTTCTAACAGAAGGAGCCTGCCAGGCCAAGCCCTCTGCAAACAGCCTGGAGGAGCAGCATTGTCAGCAGAGGCGCCATCAGCATCAGCGCCAGCTCTGCCAGCGGCAGCGGGGAGAACAAGCGGGATCCTCAATGTTTCCCCACCCACCCATCACCCTGGCAACCATGCACTCTGCTCCAGTCCACAGGGCTCCAACTGCTACCATGAGGGCAGCCGTGAGGGCAGCCGCCATTCACAAAACAGTGGGGCGCTGGCCAACCTCCGCTCGAGATCAATGTCATTTTTTTAAAAAAGTACTGCAGCTTTTTACACCTTGTTTATCCCAATGTAAAGTACTAAACTCTACATTTTCACTTGTTACATCTGTTTCCCCATGTACTGAATAAAAAGTGCTACAAGCTTGGTGGCTTTTGTCTTTGCTGCCCAGAGCAGCACTGATCAGACCCAAAGCTCAGCTTCTTCTCAGTCTCATTTGTCTACCTTTCCTGTAATTCGCCGTGTGCTGCCGTGGCTCACAGAAAACTAGGACTTACTACAGAGGTTCTAGTAACATCTCCTTCCCCTGTTCCCTACATTTGGCACCCAACATGGAGGTGAATCAGATCCAGGGGTGAACTCGCCTGTGAGACAAACTTGGAGTAAGAGCGACAGAACACAGATCTCCCAGGACGATTTCTGGACTCGGACGAGGGACACTGGTGGTAAGAGTGTCCAGCTGGGGGTAATTTTCTATCTTTGCTGAGTTATAACTATAGGTCAGTTTCTGTCATCGGAGCAGTGTAATTTTGCCAAATTACTTAAGTCACTGTTAAAGCAAGCTATGTACCCAGTACCTAAAGATACCGTGATAGATTTGGTAAAAGACATACAAATATACGTCCCATCCTTTCCCCAGGAAGGGACAACTAACTTAATAACATGGGAACGTGTAGGTACCATTGTCCGTGAGGCCTGGCGAAGGGGGGGTGATCATCTCTCCCCCCAAATGCTCCCCACTTGGGCCTTAGTCCACTCTGCTCAGAGGTCGGAGTTGCTAGCCATTTTATTTGTGATTGAAAACTTCCCTGCCCAACCTCTTAATATTTTAAGTGATTCCTCTTACACAGTTTGGTTGATTCAAAGACTAAAAGGAGCTATGGTCTGTTCTACCTTAGAACCTAAATTATTACACTTGTTTTTAAGATTACAAAAGGCCATATGTCAAAAAATTGCTCTTGCCTTAGTAACTTGGGGGAGAGGTTTTGCCTGTGTCCTAACAAATAATGAGAAAACCTTGTGGCTGCCCTCCTGAAATGTGAGACTGTGGGTCACACTGGTGGAACTGCCAACATCTCAAAGACCAGGGATAGCACCCCTCCTGAGAGCGATGAGCCAGCAGCACCTGAGTGACCCACCTCACCAGCAACGACCAATAAATCCACAGCAGGGTCCAGGACTGAGATGATGCCCCCAGAGGATTAATAATTATAGATTTATGGTAAAAAATTTATAAAGGTGGGGGACAACTTGAAAATGTTCTTTTTATATTTACAGGTATAAAAGCGCTTTCATTCCTTCTGATTCTAATTTCAAGAGATCTCTGTTAATTGACTACTAAAGTTTTTGACCAGTCATACAATTATAAATCTAATAATCATAAAAAGGATATTATAATTCAATTTGGCCAAATATATTTGAGTACACTCTAAAAAAAAAAACAACAAATAAACAAAAATAAAAAAAGTACTGTGAATAAAATAAAAGTACTTCATATTTGCTTGACCATTAAAAACCTTCATATATAAGATCAGAATTGCGAGAAAGACCTCCCTCCACAGGCTCCATGCTGTCCCCACCCTGAGGACTACTGAGACGTCTCTACCTTCTTCTCCAGCGAGTTGCTCCACTCCTTCAACAGGTTGACGTGCTGCACGGCCGAGCTGGCTTCATGGGCCTTGATCTGCTGGTTCGTCCCCTGCGAGAGCAAAGGCAGCCGCATGAATGCATCACTCGCTGCAAGGGACACAGCACCGACACAGGACTAGGCAGCGCACACACGGGGCGGATCACGTACATGAGGGGCTCTGTGACTGGCGGCGGCACTGCCTCCCATGGGCGCCCCGCCCTTCCTGTTCTCATGTCCAGTGGCTTCTTATCACGTTTCACATCGGAACGTCAAGAAATTAAATTTCAAACTCATTCCTGCTCGCTACAAATTCCTTCTTGTTAAAAATGTAAAGAGAAAATACTCCGATTCCTGCAGCCGGATGCCTCGAGGGCAGTGCAGGGAGTGGGTCTGAATCGGTACTACCGATCAGGCCGGAATGACTCAGCTGGGATGCACTGCGTCTGCACGGGACTGCTCCTCACCAGGCTGAGTGCACTTGGAAGTTACATACATAACATGAACCATCTACAGAGTACATAAGATGCAGACCACTTGGGAATCAAGAATAAGCACGAGAAACAGCATTTTGTACATTTAGGGAAATAATTTGTATGAAAATATAATTTGTTTTGATACTGGAAAATTAAGAAGCCAGGGAAAGCATTTTCATGATCTCCAAAACATATACTCTGTACACAGAATATCCATGCACACATGCTGATAAGGCGCTGCCCCCTATCAGCATGTGCGCCACACAGAACGACGGCCACAGGACAGACGCTTGGTCTCCTGGAGACCACAGCAAGGGAGACCTCGCTTGGCTTCCCCTCTCAGAAAACACCAGGCAGCCAGGACCGCTACTGTGCTGGTGTCACACGGAACTCAACACGCAGTAGTTCACTGTGATAGTTTGCCTTTTGACATACTTTAAAATTCAGATATGCATTTAAATAAAAACTCGGGCCTAATTCATTAGCACCCTCAGACATTGCTGAGAAGGTAATGAAAACTGGACGCAGGTTTTCATGCCGCACCTGTGGCAGTGACTCAGTTTCCCTGGATCTGAGGGCTGTCCTCAGGCTGGATCCATGCCGTGGGGCTCGAATCAGCACGGGGCACAGAAGACGCACCTGTGGACATGCGTGTAGTCCCAACAGCTATGCCCTCACACACAGGCTCGGACCAGGCCCGGTCTGACATTCACTTCTAGGCAGCTGTCCCCAGGATTTCCCGAGAGCCCGTGGTGGGCATCGCTGCACTGTGTCCCTCCCTGGCTGGACCCCCCAGCCTGGCAGGCAACCACCAAGCCTGCGGCGTGCGGCCCCCGGCACCCATGCAGCATGGTCTTGTGGTTTCATGACACAGACTGAGAGTCCAGAGCTTGAAAGTGGAAATGTGAACATGAGAGCTTTCTCTGGTGGAATGTGAGCGGGAAGGGCAGATGTTGGATACTGACCTGAAAAACGCAGCCATAGCGCTTAAAACTACAGGTGCTGGGGGCATTGACACACTCTGACAAGTGTGCACTCAACTGCAACGGGAAAGAGACGTGAGTTGTGGCACAAACGTTTGCATGAAAATGTTCAAACATATCGGCATGGAGAGCATCAGGCTATACTGCTCAGCGTGTTCATTGGCTACACATGTGTGCACACGGCCTGCTGCAGGCCCTGGGCCGTTAAGTATGCAGTACCACACGTGTACACATACACACACACATCAATATACAGAAATACATTCACCGTAATGGTCCTCAAACTTGTAGTTTCTTTAGAACAAATCGTTCAAAATGTGACATGCTGTCTGAACAGCCAGAATTAAAAAACAAACAAACAAACAAAAAAAACGCAAATTGAAATGCACACTTAAAGACTATAAACAAAAATTGCATGAAACACAAAAAATAGCATTCAGGATGCAACTGGGTTGCACACCTAATACATAGTACATAAAAATAAGTCTGTCTTCAAAGCAAGCTCATATATTATACGGTTACTCAAAATCCTCGGGATAACTGGAGATGGGTTTTTCCTTCCTCTGGAAAGCCTTCTTTCCAGCATGAACAGAAACTCACAGGTCTTCAAAGACCTCTAAGGCCATTCCAGCAACATGAATTTTATGTTGTGCCTCTGACAGAAGGGAAATTAGGAGGGACAGACAGACCACCTGCCTGTGAGGAGTAACGCCTTGTTCAGCTCCAGCGCTGGCAGAGATGGCAAATAAAACCACTATGGTGCTCCAGCAAGAGAAAGACACCTGGAGAAGCCGTATCTTACAGAGGTGGGGCTATGCACAGGGTTACCACAACTGCAGCCCTGGGCTATACTTTGTGCTGTCCCAGCATGCAGGCAGGGCCAAGGGCGAGGTCTGCACTGAGGGCATGGGAAGGCAGACCTCAGCAGCCTCTGCTCTGGCCTTGTGCAAAACCAAGCTGGAGCCCGAGTGGCAGGGGGCTCGAGGGACCCATGCAGGGCCACCCTTCAAGGCTGGTCTGAGAGTTGGGCAGGGTCACGGAGGCTAAGGGTCAGCAGCCTCAGGCGCCTGCTGGTTCCCTGGGTCCTGGAGAAGACCCCAAGGGTACGGACACATGGGTGGCACAGGAACCATGGGGACCACTCCTGCAGAGGTCAACTGAAGATTTCAAAACGTGTTCGTTCAGTGCCGTTAACACAATCACGACCCCAATGAGATCGCTCCTGTCAGAGCCAGGGACGTGCCATGTTTCACACGTTGTTTTCAGTCTGTTCCTAGAGCTCATGCTGAGCCCTTTCCTAAACCGGTTTTATTACTAGTACTCTGAGAAATCACAGGGGCTACGGAAGCAAGGTGAGGATAACCTATAGCCAACGGCTACTTCCACCAAAACACAAGAAATACAGATTGAAGGACTTTTAAAAAAATAAAAATAACTTAGGATGCAGAACAGAGGCAGCTCTTCATGGAAATTCAAAGCTCTGAGTGGAGAGGAGTTTGGGAGGGTGTTGGTAAAACCCTGGAGTTATTTCAGTGGTGTGGACGGCCCCTCACACAACAGCTGTGCCAGGGCTGTCCAGCCAGCAGTCATTTACATGCGGCCCCATCTCCTTCCAGGGGCTCAAGCAGGGCCTCTGTCACCAGGCAAGCCTCCCTCTCATGGTCGCAGGATGGCAGCCTCAGGCAGGGATGGCAGGCAGTGTCCTGTGTCCCTGTCCTAGGCTGCATGGGCCTCTGCTTGGTGGGGACACAGGAGGGTGCCCAGCCTGTGTGCAGGGTAAGAGTTCAGGCTGTTGGAAAAGCTGAGGTGAGCAGGGGCTGCAGGCCAGGGCTCCTGGAGGACAGGAAGCCCAGGGAGCCTCAGTGGCTCTGAAGCAGCAGCCACAGGCTCTGGGTCAAGGTCACCGAAAAACATGAAGCAGTCCTAGAAGTTTTCCATGGGGTGTGTGTTGACTGAATGAAGTTAATGCCAAATCTAGGGTCTCAAAGACAATGTAGGGTGTCTGGGGTGGTCCTGAAGTCCCCACCCCTTGCTCACCTGCTTCTGCCCTGGGCCGCCCTGCTGGGAGGTGCACAAGGCATTCCTAGAATGTCTGGAAATTCACTCACCAAGAGATAACCTCACAGGAACATTATTTTACTTATCTAAAAACAGCCTATCTTAAAACACAAGGTCACCTGTGCTTGCCTAATAAGGTCTTCCCATTTTCTCAATTCTGCACAAAATTTTTAGCTCTGAACTGACAATGTTGTAGGATTTTACTGCTTGCTTCTGACTTCCAAAGCTTTCATGTCATTTTGTTTTGCTGCCATGCAAAACTGTGAACTGTGAGAGACTTAGACTTAGTGGCTAAGGGGGAATGGAGTGCACCCCACACCCCCAGGCCTCGAAGACCCGGCCGCCCGGCCCGGCCGGCCGCCCGCCATGCCCACCTCGCTCCTCAGGAGAGTCTGGACACTGCACTTGTGAGGGCAGGACACCACCACGCAGGGACACTCGCTGTCTTCGTGTTTCTGTGGAGAAAAGAACACGTGTCTGCTGTGAAACGCACTGTCGTCTCAGGCCCTGACCCTGCGTGGACCCACAGGAAGTGCTCTGCCCACCGCTACCAGGCGGGGTCGAGGCAGGCTCGGGACGGGGCCGCGTCTGACTGGCGGCGGCTCTGGTGGCCTCCTAGGCAGTGTACGCTCAGCACGGGGTCTGCACAGCAAGCTTCTCAGATACGAGACCAGCTCACGCTGCTGACTACTGTCCTGCAGTCACATCTACCACCTTCAGTGCCAGGAAGACACGACCTGCCTTGGCTTCCTCCTCCCTGAACGGTTTGCAGAGGGCGGCGGCTGCTAAGCACAATGCCAGGGTGTTTGCCGGGCACCTGACCAGGGCATCCGTCCACAGCACAGGCAAGAACTCTCCTGGGGACACGAAAGCAAGGTCCCTGAGAGCACCCCGGGCTGGGGCAAGGGCACAGCCAGAGAGCACTGCATCGGCCAAGCAAGGAGCCTAGGCAGCGCCTTGCTACTGGACGCTTTGGTTCTGCCAGTCCCAGCTTCTCCTGCCCTGCAGGCCACTACTGCTTTGCTTACCCAGTCTCTGTAGGATGAGCAGGCCAAGGGCCAAGGGCACTCAGCTGGTGTGAGGAGGGCAGGGCCAGGAGTGGGTGTGGCTTTACTTGGTGTTGTAAGGCTCTGACCCTCTGAGCCCACACCATGGCCTGCAGCGCTGTAACAACTAGGGGTGCAGGGTGCCAGGCTCCTGCCTCTGAACCCACAGAGGGCCATGCCACGCCAGGCAGCGGGCACCCAGCAGGGTGAGCATAACTGCACGCCTCCCCTGGGGAGCGCCGCCTGGGGATGCCAGGGGCCAGCCAGGCAGATAGAACCTGGGGCTGGAGACCTCGAGGACCGATGGGGCACGAGCAGAGCACCTTCCGGGGTGCTGTGCCCGGACACTTGCCCTCTGCAGGAAGCAGAACAGGCTCCTCTCAGAACACTGCTGACGTCCACTCACAGACTCAGAATACAGCCTTATTTGGAAAGAAGGCCCTGCAGGACTAATTGAGATGGGGCCACACTGGCTGAGGATGGGCCATGAATCCAATGACTTGGTCAGGCATAGTGGGCACACACATGTAATCCTATCACTCTGGGAGGCTGAAGCAGGAGGACTGCAAGTTTGAGCCCAGTGTGTGGAACTTAGTGAGATCTTGTTTCAAGAAACAAAACACAAAACTTAAAGGTTGTGAGGGGTGGGGATGTAGCTCAGTGGCGCCGAGCCTGCCTCCTAAGAGCAAGGTCCTGAGTTCGATCCCCAGTACCGCAAAAAAAAAATTTTAAAAGAAAAGGTGCTTGAATTATGGCTCATTGCAAAGGCCTTGGGTTCAATCCCTCTTAAAAAAGAAAAGCAAGGGCCGGGGATTTAACTCAGTGGTTTCGCCACCTGCTGCGCAAGTGTAAGGACCTGAGCTCAATCCCCGGTACCGAAAAAAAAGAAAAGCAAGGTCCTGGGCCCGGGCGATGCCACGTGGACAGGGAGGCAGGGCCTGGAGGGCAGCAGTGAGAAGCCAAGGATGCTGGCGCCATGGCCACCAAGAAGCAGCGAGGGCGGATTCTTCTTTCTGAAGTGCCCAGGAGGCTCGGCCCTGCCCACACCTGAGATTTGGGTTTCTGGACGCAGAACAGCAAGAATAAATTCTGCTGCTGACAAACCAACTTGAGGGTACTTGGTTATAGCAGCCAAAGGAGAGCAGGGCCCTCATTGCCTGAAAACCTGTTCGTTTTCACTGGTCCCTGAGACCCTGCATGTCAGTGGAACCGTCTGGGCCACAACACCAAGCACAGCCTCGATGCACACACAAGCACGCCGTGCGCAACCGTGGCGGACGCTGGGCAGCCACATCCCGGGAAGACTGATTGACACCTTCACCCGCCCGTGCACCCGCCCACCTCATCCTCATTTTCTTCCAAGGAGCAACCATTAAACTACAATCCTGAATTCTGCTACTTTCCTTGAAAGGCTGCCTGTGTGTGTATGAGTGCCCAATGGGATGTGGCCTCCGACCGTCTCTGAGCTGGGTGGGCTAGGATGGAGCCTGCCGCGGGCCCCGCGTGACGCCCTGTGGGACGCAGGCCAGGGCGCCTCTCACTGCTGTGCAGCCACAGTGACACAGGCCCCACACTGCCCCTCACACCCTCCGCCCAAGCTGCTTCCAGACCTCTGGGGTGTGGGTCACGCCTGACCGCATTTCCCAGTGTGCGTGGGCAACAGTTTCCCCTGTTCAGCCTCCCAAAACACTGCCCAGTCATTTCCCAAGCCCGAGAGGGATGCGCGCTGCGCTCACTGCCCTCTGACCAGTGTGCACACCCTAAACGGGGTCCTTTCAATCGATTTCTCACAGCTCAACAGGCCGGTTTAAAGGGACTGATCCAAGTCTCTTCCTATGTAACGTTGCACAACACGGGAAACAGGAAAATCAGGACGACCTGGGCCTTTAGAGCTGCATACATCACATAGGTGCTGCTTTCAAAATGCACCTAGGGGCTGAGAAGGTGAGACCAAGCTTCGGAGTTGAAAGACCCGCGAATCAAATCATGCTGCTGAGGCCGGGCCAAGGAGGCCAGGGGCGAGTGACAGACCCTGTCCAGGTGTGCAGCGGCTCGGACAGCATCAGGAGCCACGAGCAGCAACCAAACCTGTGTGCTCATCAAAACCACTGCAGGCTGAGGGAAAGCAACAGGCCGGAAGCTGGACTCTGCTGACTGCAGAGTAACGCAGCCAGTCAGGTCCATCACAACAGAATACGAGGACTCAGACCCCGACTTGCCAGTTAGCATCCAGGCAGAGCCTGCTGTCTCCCTCCCTGGCCTCTGGCTGACAAGCTCAGAACCCAGATCAAATCACTGACATGTCCCCACCGGAGCCTCCTTCCTGTGGCACCCGGCTCTCAGTACAGCCCTGGTGTGCCCTGCACCACAGTGAATTATCTGGGCCTTAGCTGCCTCCCTGTGACCCCGAGGAGTGAGGCGTACGCTGTGCTGGCCCCTGAGCCCCAGCACTGGGTCCCAGCCCCGTGGCCCTCACGCATGCTCTGTGACTCCAGGTGCCTGGGCGTGCCACGGTTCAGTCACGACGTGTGTTTAACTGACATGCTCTACGATTCCTTCTCAAACGAAAATTAATTGCTGGAGTCTATTCTGCTCATAACCGATTTCTGCAAGAAGCAAGTGTAATTCTGATAGCAATATATGAACATGTACAAGGCCCGGAGTACTGTTCATTAGGGATGTGTCTCACCACTGGAAGTTATCTACTGGAGGAATCATTCGATTAGGACAAACACTACTGCTGTCTCCTGAAGGGAAAGGGGACAGTTCTTGAAGTTCTCCAGAGCGGGGGACATCTAGAGCACCCTGTCAGGAAAGTCTTCCCAGTGGAAAGAGGCTGAGGAGCCCAAACACGGAGAGGGTGGGCAGGGTCGGACACTCACGGGGAGCTCAGCCGTAAGCCCTGGCTGTCCCCCAGTCCTCTCCCCCTGACCCGGCACCCACCCGCCAAGGCAGCCCCTCCCTGCCCAGCCTCTCCGGGCAGCACCTGCCACACACACAGCACAGCCCTGCTGAAATAACTGAGGCAGGAAAACACTTCCATGCCTCATCTCCTGTCAGTGCTGCAGGATGAATCAGCCTGCTCTGAGCGATAGTTCTGTATGCAGCTGTGAAAAGACAAGCAACCCTCACAATTCTGAGGCCATTCTCTAGGACAAGTTACACATTCCACCTTTTCTGAATAATCATTCTTCATTTTTTTGATACCCCAATGATATTCAATCAAGGCAATGGAGAATGTTAATTACATAAATCAAAACAGGGAAAACAAATACAGCTTTCCCTGAAATAAAGTTAGATGAAAATTGCTGTTTAGTCCTATCTTTCTCTTTATTCCCACCAGAATCGGCATTTAGAGCGCAGTTCTGCGGGACGCAGCGGGCCGCACCTGCAGCTTGATCATCGGGACTTGGCTCTTGCAGTGGGTGCACGTGGCCTCCCGGTACTTGCAGGCCTTCTCCACGTGATCTCGCAGGTCTCTCCTCAGCACCTTTTCCCTGCAGTCGGCACGCAAGCAGGGGAGCTCCTCGAATTGGCAGTCATTCTTCAGGTGCACCTGTGAAACATAGGGTTCTGCGCTCTTCACCAGCAGCACAACCCCTCGGAGTGCCGGATTCGAGCCCAGACGCAGTGAGACCCTGCAGAGGTCAGACCAGCCGCCCACAGCGGGGACCAGGGCGAATGGCTGGCCCAGGGTCACCGAACCACACGACTGTCAAGAAGGGGTCAGCACTTCCTCCCGGGAGAGGGACACAGGGGCATCTGCTAAGGATTTTGTTTTATTCCAATTCAAGTATCCTCCCAGCATAAAACTGATACTAATGAAAAAATAAAAGTGATACTAATAAAAAATAAGTTACATGAAATTTCATGGTGAAAACAGGGTCTAATGTGCCTTCAAGAATTAAAGCCCAGGGCTGGGGGTGTAGCTCAGTGGTTCTGCTGCCTGCCCCGCAAGCACAAGGCCCCAAGTTCAGTCCTCGGTACCAAAAAGAAAAAAACCACACGCAAGACTTGAACCCCAACCGAGACTCCCTCTGCTCTGACAAGGGTGGGGGCCCCACGATTGCGAAGGTGTCACAAAGTGACCCCGCATGCCAGGGTGCTCTTCCAGACCCAGTGCAGGGGCCCGAAGGGGGCACGGGGCGCAGGGAGCACCCTGGACTTACCAGCAGATGCCCGAGCGTCAGCTGCTCCGAACATCCCCTGCCTTCGTTCCGACAGCAGATCTGGAGGGCCAGGATCTCTCTCCTGCAGCAATTGTCCTTAAACACCTGAAATCGAGGGACGCTGCTTCAGAGGATTAATATGTCTTAATCTCCACACGCTGCTGTTCTGGTCACGGTAAACCACTTAAAAAGTCAAGAGAGCAACTCTGGAGTGGACCTCATGAGCATTAAGGACCATTTTAATTTCCACAAGCTGGAGAGAGCACAATGGAGATCACACAACCACATTAGGTGAGCCAGAAGAAAACGAGCCCCACTGGATTGTTAAAGACCAAGCGGAAGCTGGCAGACACTCTCCAGGAAGTATGAGGGACGCCCCAGACAGCAGCGAGTGGCTGGGCCTGCATCCTCCGGGGCGCACCTGGACCAGGGGACCCTGCGGCCCTCAGTCGTCTGCTAGTGGACTGGACCGAGGGCTGGGACAATCTGTCAAACATCTCTTTCAGCTCCTCCTATGGAGGTTATGCTGCTTATAACTCACTCTTCACCAAAAAAGGAAGCTTTTAAATGAGGACTGCAATCTAATACTGCTGTATTTCTCTCTAAAGATGAAAACCTGCTTGCCTTTCTCTAATTTTAGTTGCTACCAGGAAACAAGTACTCCACTCTTTCCAACAGCACAGTACAGCACTTATCCCGGGGTGACTCCAAGAACCCCACCATCAGCTCCGAGCAGGAAAACCAGCCCTTAATCTGTCTTCCGGCCCCACAGGGAAAGGAACAGAATCAACAGCTGCCAAGAGTTAAAAATAAACTAATCTGGAGTTGAGTCTAAGTCTTCACGAACACAATGTCTTTAAAAGTGAATTAAGGTACAAAGTCAACAAAATAGCTATTTTAGTGGATGAGAATCATGCTTCCTTTTTGTGCCGCTAAATTCCTTCAATCATTTGAGTTCAGTCTCACAGGCAAAACAACACTGATAGACAACAGGAGAATAACACATGCACAACAATTTGCTCCATGTCCCCTGTCCAAACAAGGAACCTGGGAGACGCTGGGCTCCGCTCTGTCCCCGAGGATCCACGGCTTCTGTGCACCTCATTAATGATTCTCCAACAAACCTAGCTGTTCTTCCTCAGCTATCAGTGCTATCAAAAACAGGATAACTTGGAACAAAGAAGCAGAGACACTGAACCTGCCCTAGCCTGTGGACTTACTGCCCTCTTCACCCACGTGGACGAGTTCCCTGTGGCCTCACTAAGGGAAGGACCAGGCCGCCCCCCTTGTCCCCAGCAGCCAGCACCACACCAGGCTGCCCAGCCAGCGAGACCACTCATGCTGGTGCTGCCACAGCAGACCCCAGAGCCAGGATCCCAGGTAACAACCCCTATTAAAAACCTGCCGGTTCATTAATCCAAACAGTGGCAGCACACACATTTTTATTGATATTCAAGTACTTTAAGGGAGAGGTGTTTCAAACTACAAGTGCGCCTGGCAGGGCTTAGCAGTTAGTGGATCACCGCCTGTCACACAGGGTGTGAGAGGGAACCAGGCCCCTGAGGGGCGAACCTTGGGTCCCGGCGTGCCGTGTGTGTGCAGTGACACCACAGGCAGAGTGAACAGGGCGACAGCGTAACAGTGCTTCGGACACACCCCGCAGACCAGCGAGGCCTGAAGGTCACACCTGGTAAGAGCGGGCATGAGCTGTGGGACAGAGACCCACAAGGACAGTGGCACAGCACCCAGCACAGGGCCTGGCAAATGAACACACACTACCCGCAGACAACTCAGTTGCTTCACAGGCAGGGCTGGTTTGTTTTTTGGTACCGGGGATCGAACTTGGGACCTGTGCTTGCGAGGCAGGCAGTGGCACCACTGAGCTAAATCCCTGGCCCAGGGCTGTTTCTGACAGTGCGTCACACAGCACAGCCCCGCTGTGCACACTGAGGTAACCGAGTGTAGGGCACCAGAGGCAGACCGCAAGGAGCTCCACGAATACCTTCTCTTTGACGATGCCTTCTTGACACGCTGTGCACTTGGGACTCGAGGAGCTGCGGGAGACAGAGACCATGTTAGAGCGGAGGTACAAGCAGAGGGACGGTGCCCTGGAAGGCGGCTTTCAACAGGGGGCTGCTCAAGGAAGGGGAGAAATTCCCTTCGCTGGCCAAGTTTTCAGAAGGAAGCTGCTGAGTCCACAGCTGACCGCAGCCCTTCAGTGAACACAGGGATGTGTGCAAGCCCTGTGGGGCCCTCGGAGCAGTGCCCAATGTCCAAGGCCTCCTGCTTGCTGGCTGTGCCCAGCCCCAATCCCCAGCAAGCTGGTGCCACCATGTACGGAAAAGCCAAAGCCACGGCCTCCCTGCCTGGGCCTCTGCGGGGCCGGGAGGGGAGGGGAGACAGGCGCTCGCTGCTGTGCACCCCCGGCTGCCACCACCTCTCACCCCGGGACGGGCAGAGCAAGGGCTGTGTATGGGCCGAGTGGGGTAGAGCACTGCAGGAACACAGCTTGGGGAAAGGCGGCTGTCAGGCAGGGGCCCGTGCGCTCCTGGGCTCGGGGACCCAGGCATGAGTGGCCAGTAGGGAGAGCAGCTGGGCAGCCCTGCTAGGCCATGTGCCCTGAGGACAGTGGCCACTACATCCAGCACAGGGCCTGGCAAGTAAACACACAGTACCTGCGGACAACCCAGCTGCTTCACAGCCAGGGCTGTTATCTGAGACAGGGTCTCACTATGTAGTTCAGGCTGGCCTTGAACTCGAAGTGATCCTCCTGCCTCAGCCTCCCGAGTACTGAGATTACAGGTATGCCGCCACCACGCCTGGCCAAGCCAGTGCTGTTTCTGCCTGCCTCTGCAATGCTCTGATGGCATCTGTGTCATCTACCGCATGGCACGCAGCTGGCTCTGCAGGGGGAAGGGGCTCCCAGCTCTGTCCTGACTGCCCGCCCCCTCCTGCAGCAGAGCCCTGCACTTGATGACTCAGTCAGCCTGAATCCCGGAACCCCAGCTCCTTCGGCAAAACAGCAATAGGAACACTGGGGCTCGAGGGCCGAGCGCAGGTGCGGCGGGAGGAGGGCTCAGCAGGTGGGCAGCGTGCACAGCAGCCTCAACAACCTCAGGCCTTCGGCCCAGGACGGCCAGACCAGGCCCAGCGACCCCCATACGCTCACAGACAAAGCCTCCGGGTCAGTGGGGGGTGAGGCGGGGCACCCACCTGAGCAGCGCAGCCATGCAGCTCTCACAGAAGCGATGCCCACACTCGGTCTGCTTCGGGTTGCACAGCACCAGGCGGCACTTCTCGCACTTGTACTTGTCCTCCACGGCCTTCACAAACTTCTCCTTGTAGCCGCCTTGCTCGGGGACAAACACGGACCCCGCGCTGCGGTCAGGCTGCAGCTTCAGCGGCGGGTTGGTTTGCAACGTGCCGGCTGAGTCCATCTTTTTACTCGGCTCCATTTAGGAGAGAGGAGTTCTGCCAGCGGGGAGAAAACTCCAGTAAATAGGGGCCACCTCACTGTCCCGGGCAGGGGTCACCAACAGTCACGTCCAAAAGACGTGCCGTCCTTCAGCCTTCGACAGCGCATGAGCACCAGGTTCCCAGCTTCCTCGTGGGAGAACAGACCTGGCCCAGGGCTTACTCCGCCCTCCTCCCTGGTGCCACTGCCAGCGGGGCAGCAGAGCACTCTGGGAAAGGCTCTGCGGCTGGACTGCAGACTACAGACTGTGCAGCAGCCGGCCTCAGCCACTTCTACTTCCCTCCTGGATTCTTGCGGTCCCATTCCATGTGGCAGGCAGGACACAACCTCTCATCCAACTTGCCACCACTGCCCTGTTCCCCTGAGAGGCCCCAGGCCCTCAGCTGGAGTCTGCCTCATCACTATTCTACTGTGCCCGATCACCTTGACTCAGCCTTCTGCTCTGGGCTGCTCTGTTACTCCCACCTGCAAGACCCACTGCCAGGGACCCAAGAGCTCCTAAGACGGCCACAGGGGTCCCAGCTGAGGCCAAGTAGCTGGGAACATGTAAGAACACAGCCTGTGGGGAGGAGGACCAAGTGTGCTGCGTGCACACGCAGACCTGCCCAAGTAAGACCCACCGATCTGCGTGACCAGTTAAAAACATAAAGCAGCTGAAGAAGTTCCCGAGGAAACATTAGCTTTAATGAAATCACAGCACACATTAATAAATATGCATAACAAGTGAACTCATCACCCTCAATGCGTGCCAGCACCTGTGTGAAGCTCGCGTGCGGTGGGACGAAGCTGGCTTCTTTCTCCCTGTTCTCTGGGCCCTGGATAGACTCTGATGAGGAGGACTGGACACTGGCAGTGTCCGGTGGCCCCAAGCTCTGGGCTTTCCTGGGAGCTCCTGCTGCACTCCCCAAAGCCCACATGAAGTGCGCCACCGCAAGAGGAAGAGGAAGGGAGGCTGTGAAGGGCAAGGGTCCTGCTCGGCCCTGTACCTCGGGGTTCGTACCACAGGAATGAATCTGCTGGATGGACTGAGGACATTCCTCTCAGAACTCACCAGCTCTCCCCAAAATGCACCTCGTTCTTGCCCAAACTATCTCTGTTTGCTACTTAAAAAATACGAAGCCAGACGGGGATTTAGCTCAGTGGCAAGCGCAAGAACCCAAGTTCGATCCCTGGTACCAAAAAAAAAAAAATGAAGCCAGGCCTGGTGGCCCATGCCTGTAACCCCAGCCACTTGGACAGCAGAGGCATCAGAATCACAAGTTTGAGGCCAGGCTGGGCAGCTTAATGAGACTCTGACTCAAAATAAAAAATAAAAAGGCGGCTGGGTGTGGTGGCACATGCCTGTGATCTCAGCACTTCAGAGGCTGAGGCAGGAGGATGGCTGTGAGTTCGAGGCTAGCCTGGGTTACACAGAGAGATCAGCCTGAACTACATGGCAAGACCTTGTCTCAAAAGACCAAATAAATAAATAATTTTTTAGGGCCTGGGCTGCAGCTCTGCAATGGAGCGCCTGTGCAGTGCTTGACAGGCCTGGGTTCAATCCCCAGTACTGCAAAAAGGGAACCAAGCTCTTCCCGCTCCTGAGAGCCTGGCACCCAGCCCCAGGCCCTGCCCTTCTCTGCAGGATGTGAGACTCGGAGCCAGGGCTGCCAGGTACCCCAGGGGAGCCCCCAGGGGCTTGGAACCAGCCCCTTTCTCCCCCGGCCCAGGCCTTACACTGCTTCTTGCTGCTTCTACTGGGGTTCGAGAAGAGCTCTTCACGGCCAGGACCGTGCAACCTACCACTGGCACATAGCAGGGGCCAGATCCAGGAACCTGAGTTCCAGCCACACGTGGGGTAGTGTCACACAACAGACATCACCATGGCAAAGTGAGAGGACTGGTGTGAAGTCTGCTCATGTGCGAGACAGCAGCTTTTCAAGGTGACCCGCGTGGCAGTGACTGCTCACACACTCACCTTCAGAACCTCACCCGTGACCATGCCAGGCAAGAAGGACCGGGGTGACCGGTGATGGTCAGCGAGAGCCAGCCCAGAGCCCCGTGCTACCCATGCCCGCCCGGCACCTGATGCCCTGGTCTGCAGTCCACCCAGGCCCTGGCACCTCCCACACTCTCCCTGGAGGAAGGCAGGCCTAGGCTGGGTCTGCTCCACCTGCTGACCCACAGAGCTCGGGCCCCTGGGTTAGGGCCTGGCAGGGAAGGGGTGCTCAGTGTGCGTCTGGACAGACGGGCAGTCACTGCTGTGACAACGCACGGTGCCAGGACATCGCCTCGAAGCTCCGTGCCCTGCAGAGCTCTCCCCATCTGCGTGCTTCTCTCCACAACACTCAGGACACGAGTGTTCAATCAAGAGTTTGTGATGAGAAACCTGGTTCTTGGGAGTGAATTCCTATTTCAAATACACCCCAGCCAGTGATGCGCGATTCGTCTCCTGTTCCTATACTGAGCATGTCACAAGCTATATAAAAAAGTGAAGAGTGTAGTCCTGGGGCTTTGTTTTGATAAAATGCTGAAAAATTGGTGAACAGGTGTAGAAGATACTCCAAGCACACAAACGAAAATTTCACAGCCCTGCGTTCAAGGGCACAGGAAGCCGGAAGCCAACAAGTTGGCGAGGACCGCGCCCCCCCCAGTGGTATGGGGATCCCCAAGGGCATCTCTGCAAACGGCCACCAGGCTCTCTTAGAGCCCTGCCCAGGTCCCCAAGGCCCGTCCCTGAGCTACAGGCAGCCAGCAAGAGGGAAGAGCCCTGGGCAGCAAGGCAGGGAGAGTGGGGTCCTCCTTGGTCAGATGTTTGCCAGGGCCTGGGAGTACAGAAGGCCACCCAGACATGAGCGTCTGCTCCAGAATCGGGCAGGGCAAGGATGCCACTGGCCACGCCAGCTCACCATGTGCAGTTTTTGAAATTTCAGCTGAAGCAATCAGGCGAGACAAAGAAAAGGGGACTAAACAGGAGAAGTCAATCACTGTTTGCAGAGGACAAGGTCCTAATGCCTGCACCAAAAGACTTACAGCTGACAAATAAATTCAGGTTATAAAATCAACATTAAAGAATCAGTATCTTGGGCCAGGGATTTAGCTCAGTGATTCCAGTGCCTGCCTGGAAAGCGCAAGGTCCCGAGTTCAATCCCCAATACCAAAAAAAACCCCACCAAATAGTATCTTTACTATACATCAATAACGGACTAGGTGAGAAAGAAATCAGGAAAGCAACTCCATTCACAACAGCACACACACACACACATCCTAGGAATCAATCTAACCAAAGAAGTGGAAGACTTCTATAATGAAAATTTCAAAAACTGGAGAAAAAGACAGCAGAAAATGGAAAGATCCCATGTTCAAGAACTGTCAGAGTATTATTAAAATGGCCATATTACCACATAATCCTCTTCAAAATACCAATGACATTCTTCACAAAACTGTAAAAAACACTCCTAAAATTCATATGGCAGCACAAAAGACTCGGAATAGCCAAAGCAGTCCTAAGCAACAAGATCAAGGCTGGAGGCGAAGCAGTGGCAGATTTCAAATTACACTCCAGAGCCACAGTGACAAAAACAGCATGGTACTGGCAACCAGTGGGACGAAGAGAGGACACAAGAAACCCATCTGACGCTGGACAAAGGAGCCAAAATATTCGCTGAGAAGAAGACAGCCACTTTAACAAACAGTGCTACAAAAGCTGGACGTGCCCTTGGAGAAGACGGACACTAACTAGATCCCTCTCCCACCCTCCACAGTTCAGCTCAACATGGACGGAACACCTCAGCTTCAGCCCGGAAACTCTGAAACTGCTGTAGGAAACAGAGGAAACACTTGAAGCCATAGACACAGGCAAAGACTTCCTGGATAGAACAATCGGACTCCAACAGCACAGGAAATAATAGCAAGAATCAACAAGTGGGACAACAGCAAATTAAAAAGCCTCTGCACAGCAAGGGAAACAGCTAACAGCAGAGACAGGCGAAGCGGTGTTGGCAAATCTAAAGCACGGGTGTAGAGCGGGCCGTTTGTATCACTGACAGCTCTAAACTATTCACCATCACTGGGCTACAGAATGAGAGAAAATCTGTCAGCTACTCTGCCGACAGAGGACTAATATATAAAATATATAAAGAGGGGCCAGGGATTTAGCTCAGTGGTTCTGCCGTCTGCCTCACAAGCGCAAGGACCTGAGTCCGATCCCCGGTACAAAAAAAAATCTATATATCTATATATCTGTAGATATATATAGATATATGAAGAGCTCAAAAAAACTAACACCAAAAAATCAAACAGCCCAATCAATAATGGGTGAATGAACTGAAGAAGTGCAAGCAGCCAAAAGTATGTGAAAAAAAAAGTTCAACATCTCTCGCTATTAGAAAAATGCAAATCAAAATGACACCGAGATTCCATCTCACCCCAGTCAGAATGGGCATTGTCAGCACAAAAATCAGGAGATGCTGGCGAGGCTGTGGGGAAGAAGCAGCCCTCCTATACTGCTGGTGGAAGTGTACACTAGTGCAGCTACTGTGGAAATCAGGGAGGAAATTCCAAAAAAACATTTGATCCACCCGTGCCACTTACCTTATGACCCCCAAAAGGAACTTAGCATACACGAGACCCGCACACTGATGGTACTGTGGACCATGCACAGTGTCAAGATATGGAACCAGCCTCAGTGCCCATCAGCAGATGAATGGAGGAAGCAAATGTGGTGGTTTGCACTGTGTGGGTTACTCAGCCATAAAGAGGTACAAACTTTTGTCATCTGTAGGAAAATGGATGGATCCGAGATCCTTGGGTTGAGTGAAATGAGCCAGACTCAGAAAGACAAACACTACCTGTTCTCCCGAGTGTGTGGAGCCTACGAGATGACGAGAAAGCAGAGGGCATAAGGCTGGGAGTGCAAGGACAGGTAATGGGGAGACGGGTACGATGGAAAAACATCATGAGCATGGAAGTCGCCCCTCAAAGATGAGAGAGCCCGGAGGGTGACGGGAGTGCGCAC